CAGGCCACAAAATTAGCTCCCTTTAAGGCTTTATCATATTTTGTACCATATTCCACCCTTCCGGGGACTTATGATTTGATGCATTCTTAGTAAACACAAATTCATAGTGAATATCATCACAAATTGTTATCACGAGTACATAATTTAGTTACTTCAAGTAACCAAACATAAGCTCTTCGGAAGCTTTTTCTTATTTATGTACTCTATCATATAGTTTATATGAAATTTTTCTAGTACTCATACTTTATAAAAACATAATAAAAGCAATAAATGAGAATATTTCAAACTTAAGACAAAATTGATGAATTTATCAAGTTCATTATTCTAGATAAAGGTTATCAAATTAAATTATGCATGAAAAATAACGTCACAATAAAACATAAAAGAAATAAGAATCATAATACTAAAATTGTGAAAATTAAATCAGATTTATTTGGAACAATACCATCACTAACTAGATGATTTTAAATTTATATATGCGTTTCATTATAATGTACAACAGGTACATTATATTATCATGACTTTGATAATGCAATTGTGGTGTCATCCTTATTTATAGTTATCCTTTTACTCCTCTTTTCTGACTTTTGGTGAAAAGATCCAAACAATACATTTAACATATATATAATTATGTTTATAGCTCCATTCACTTCGGAGAATAGATTATTTCATTCACTTCTGGAAATGAAAATTTCTCAAGTGCAATATCATTTTCCTCTTTAATGGAGAATATACCAACTCTTAGTACAAAAAAATATTTTCCATAATATAGATATTGCAGGAGCGTATATAAATTTGCTTTTTCCTTTGATTCTTGATAGAATAAGGTCTTTTGCGTACAACGGGTACGAGACAAACACATTTTTCCATTACAATGGTAACATACATAACCAATATTCTTGTTACCATGTCCACTTCGTTCTTTGCCCATGCATTCTTCAATTTCCACTTCTGGGGAATACATGGCTCTTGGAACTTGCATTTTCTACATATCAAAGTAGAATTGATAGGAATAGGATAACACGAAAAACTGAGTAATTAACTTATCACTTATATAACTTTTCTTGTTATTGCTACTACAGGAGCAATTTGTCCAAGTACAAACTCTATGCTATGAGATAGTCATACATAAAATAGTTCATAAAATAATATGAACATACTAACAAGAAACGAAATGAAAATTTGCATACCTTGATCGTGTTATGATCTTACTCAAATATATCTGATTATGTAGAGAGGCAATGACCAACCATGAATTTGGTAGAGTTTCGTGCTGATAACGTGTTATGAAACTAATATAATATAAACAACTACAAGAGAAGATTAGAGAGGGAAAGACACAAAGAAGATAGGGGGAAGTGAGCTTTCTTATTCATTCTCCCCTTTTGATACAATAATATGCTCTATTTATATGCACACTTTGGTAACCACTACATCCTTATATCAATGCATATGAATGAGAGATAATAATGTAGGAATAGGGGTTACATGTAACTCCCAAGTGAGCATCTAATGTGGTAATGACAATGGTCATCCATATATCAATATTTACATAATAATTCGCGAATTTTCTGAGATTTCTCCACAATCCGTGCTTTTGCGCACGAATTGTGTGACCTAAGTTAATACCTTATTTTGGCCCGAACTATGACCATATAATCAACTTTGGCACGTGGTTTCAAAAATTAACATCCTAGCCTCAACTATGCAGCATATAGACTCAATTGGCCTGACACATGGTTTGACCGTCAATTTAGATGCTCAACACCGTTGACCGTTAGTCAATACGCCATGTCATTGCCTCGTCATCCTAAAAATTATGAAAAAATCAAATTCAAATTATTTTTCTAATTTCTATTATTTATCATTTTCAAACTAACCAAAAACAAATTTATATTTTATTTTTGGTATATTTGAAAATAAAATTTTTATAAATTAACCAAAACTTATCAAATTAAATTTTATAAATTCAAAAAATATTATATAAATTTAGTTTCTCATCTTCTTTTTTATATTTATTATATTTCAATAAAAAATTATGTGATTTTTTAAATTCCAAGACAAAAAATTCAAATATTATTCGTTAATTTGTTACATTAATTTCGGGATCACTCCAAATATGACAATTTTTTGTAGCCGTTAAGTTATGACATTTTGTGTAGGATATGGTTTTATAAATGATAGTTCTTCATTTCCAAAACAAACATATTCATCATGAGTATCTCAGATAATTCGTCATCTGGAGGAGATGAATAAATCGAAGATTGTGAAAGGCATCACCATATACGTTTGAACATCCATTCTTCTTCGTTCGTACTCTATCATTGACTTTTGCCTCTTTCTCATATCATTACCAAACACTAGCAGTTGAGTAGTGTACATGTCTGATGACTCAACAACTGCCTTACATTTCTTCTTTGCTCCCTTTTGTTTGTCGTATCCTTCAGGATGAGACAACACGAAGACATAACTCTTTCATTTGGTAAATCGTCAAGGCTTCCACATGAGAGAATTGAGAGCCACACCTATGAGAAAGCGAAGTTAAACAGGCGCCTCCATATATCAACAGATGGTGGAAGGGTTTTGTTGCTACCAACGAATGACTCCGAAATCCACTTCATGGAACGTGGCATACAGGGTAGAGATGGTGGCGGAACAGAGAGAAGGAGAAGCTAAACAGACACCTTCATTTCTCTAGTGGCTCTTCCGGCAATTGCTATGGAGGCAACGATTTGTAAATGGGTCCTTAACTAAAATTGCGTCCCAACTTGGTTTCGCCCATCAAACCAAACACAACACCCATAAATCGACTTTCCAAAATACCCCTAAAATTTCTATGGAAACAAATGTTTTTGAATGAGTGTGACCTGATTGTACTATAAAATAATGTGTGGATTAATCCAGTTTAAGTTTTGATTAGGCGTTTCGCGTCGTTGCTTGAGCAGGTTAAAGTTGTAAGATCTTCTTTTTCAAAGATAACTCGTATTATCGAGGTAAAAGAGATATACTAGAATCACCTGACTGCAAGCAACCGAGAATAAAAATCAAATCAACAAAATTACGAAACAAAAAAAAAAACACGATTTTTTTGGCCACCAAATGGACCACCCTATTTTCAGCACGATCAACAAATCTGATGGAAAAAGAAATGTAGACATTTTTAAGGACTTAATTTTTCTTTGTCATTCATTAGAAGAAGCCCAAGTGTAGGACCTTTTCTAAAAGAGCCCAACAGTTTTTTTTTACAAGGGGCCGCTAATACTTGCATTGCACTTTGTAAGATAGATTACAAGAGAAATCAAAGAAGAAAACCAGAAACAAAGTAGGATAAAACGTCTCCAAGCAAGAAGATAAAACAATCAGTGTTCCAAAGATAAAACAAGGGAAGCACAAAACACCAAATGAACCAACCCCAACATTGGATCTGAAACACTTGATCCACAACCAATAAACACAAAATCTCTCTTGCAACCAAACCAAACAAAGTAGCACCAAGCGCAGACAGCTCGTCCGATCCGACCAAGACCATGGCTATTGAACACAGCAACGTCATAAGCCGCCTCCTGGGAGTCGCTCGAAGACGCTCAGCACAGTGAATCTCAGATGTGGGCTTACATGGCGGTGATCAGGGTTGAGAACCGGATTGCTCCGAGCTAAAGAAGCAGAGGGAGCCAGAAAACCAAATCTTGGTGAAGGCGAGCAGGAGAACCCACACCCCAAAAATCAATAACAGCCACCACGACCAGCTGGATCAGACACCCATCCACCCACTGACAACGACCGAGAGGCAGATCTAAACCACTAGCAAAGGCCAGAGGGGGAACTCGGTGAATGGATTCACCAAAAGAAAGATAGATCCACCATCTTGAGGGACAACCACCACACATAGTCTGATAGCGACGCCCAACATGCATAACCCAGTCCCAAGGAGAGCAAACACAGAAATCACAACTCAAGAACAGAAAAAATTGAAATGGCACATAGGCTGGAAATGCATAAAACACAGGAGAATCCGATGGAAAAACGCCTACAAACATAGGCAGGAGAGCGTGAAACGGAAGCATGAAAGTGAAGGGGTCATTGGGCTACCGCCGTCACCTTTTGGTGACCGGCGGCAACCCCTGGGAAGCTGAACGGGAGACTTGAGGTAGAGAGAGGGCAGAGCACTCTTTTTGAATTAAAGTAAGAGAGAGAGGCCGAGCCCAACAGTTAGGGGTGAACAAAACAACCCGCAAACCGACCCACCCGTCCAACTCAACCCAATACACCCATATTTATCGTCAAAATTAAAGTTTAAGTTTGGGTGAGAGTTTTGGTTAACGCAACCCGTAGAACCCGACCCAACCTGTGTTGAACTATTGTCATAAGTGTTCGTATACAACACATATTCGTGTCATAAATAAACATATTTGTAAGAAAATTAAGCTATCTTATCATATTTTTCTTTTGTGGTTTCTCTAGTCTATTACATTCTTCAACTTAATATTTAGTCTTAGATTTAATTTAAGCTATGATTCATGTAATATTTTTTTCTTGTGTGTACAATTTTAGAAGAACAATATAGTATGAATGTGTTAGCTTTTAATTACTTTAGCTTACTTCGACAAATATTTATGAAAAAACTAGACATATGTTGAAGTAAATTGCATTTTATTAAAATCCAAACAATATTTATGCATATTGAATTTTTTTGCCTGGACTTATTTGTATAAAATCTTAATTAGTTATATAATATTTTCGTAGTGTATAATAGTTGCCTTTTTTGTCTTAGGTTGAATATTTAATTAAAACTATCTCCAACCTGATCCAACCCAATCCAATTATAAACAAACCATAGGATGTTATTTTTTTTGAATTGGTTGAATTTAACATTTTCAAAACCGTAATATATGAATCGGGTAATTAAAATGACCAAACCCGAACCACCCAACCCATGTACACCACTCCCAACAGTAACACACGATCATGATGAAGAGGCTCGTTGAGTTCCCCCGCCAAAAGTACATCTTTCCCGCCAAACTCACACTCATTACCCGCTCAAAACCGTCCCCGGCAACTAGGGCACGAAGCAACAGAGCCACATTTTGCACTTTCTACTACTGGGTTCTCTCCTTCTTACCTTCTATTCGATTGAGGCGTGAAACACTGCAATTTCTGCTGCGTAGAAGCCGAGATTCAATCGAAGAGCTTAAGAAATGGCGAGCTTTGAAGACCGGAGCAGTCACAAGCGAGCTTTCCTCGAGTTCTTGGACCAGAATGTACATCTCTATTTCTCTCCTCTCCATCCATTTCAATTGCTGTGGGTTTTTTTTTATATAGAATTTATAGAGTGGGAATAGTGACGATGAATGACCTAATTGATTAGGTATACAAGAACGAGATCAAGGCTATGATTGACCAGCGGCGCCGCCGTCTCATTGTCAATATCTCCGATCTGCACTCCTTCCAAGACTTCGGTCCCAGGTTCTTACATTCATTTCTTCCCTTTCACATTTCGACAATTTCAAACCTAAGCTCTTTTCTCATCTCTCTTGTGGAGGAGTTTAGGTTTTAAGAAGAGTATTTGAAAACCTTGTAGTGGTTACGGTTTATTGCGGCACAGTGACTTCAGCTGATGTTGTTTTCATGGCTGGGATTACTAATTCTTGTGCCTTTCCAATTTTGCTCTCTCTGTGAAGTTCGTATAAGTTTCGACTATGTTGACATTTACCCTTGTTGTGGGGGTGTTTTAGGATCTTGAAGAATCCGAGCGAGTTTATGCAACCATTCTGCGATGCGGCCACAGACATTGCTCGAAGTATTGACCCGCTGTTTTTGAAGGAAGGAGAGCAAGTGCATGTGGGTTTCGAGGGGCCTTTTGTCTCCCGCCGTGTCTCTCCTAGAGAGCTTCTCTCTGAGTACATAGGCACCATGGTCTGCGTTGAGGGCATTGTCACCAAATGTAACCTTTTCCTTCCCTTTAGTTTGATTGGAGAAAATTTGGGAGTGGATGCTAATTTCGTTGTGGTTTTGGTTTTCTTTTTGTCAATTTTAGGTTCTCTTGTTAGGCCAAAGGTTGTGAAAAGTGTGCATTACTGTCCTACAACTGGAGATTTCACTTCTCGCGAGTACAGAGATATCACCTCTAATGTGGGCTTGCCAACGGGGTCTGTGTATCCTACAAGGGTATCGTCTGAAACTTGATTAGTAAGTTTTCATATGCTTGATGGATCAACCTTTTCCTCATGGAGACATTGCTAATGCAGGACGAGCACGGTAACCTATTGGTGACTGAGTATGGCTTGTGCATGTATAAAGATCACCAAACCTTGTCAATGCAAGAGATGCCTGAGAATTCTGCTCCTGGTCAGCTCCCACGAACGCTGGATATCATTGTTGAGGACGACCTTGTTGATTCATGTAAGCCTGGAGACCGGGTTGCTATGGTTGGGATATACAAAGCACTTGCTGGAAAGACCAAGGGAAGTGTGAATGGTGTATTTAGGTATGAAAAAGAACCAGTATTTGGGGACTATTTTCTGTTTCTATTATTGTAACATCATGGTTCAGTTTTGATGAAGTGACATTGCTTGATATGCAGGACCGTGCTGATAGCTAATAATGTTGCCCTCCTGAACAAATTGGCAAGTTCTCCAATTTACACCGCTGATGATATCAAGAACATCAAAAAGATTGCTGAAAGAGCTGACGTTTTTGACCTACTGGGTAATTCACTTGCACCTTCGATATATGGGCACTCATGGATAAAGAAAGCTGTTGTGTTGCTGATGCTTGGTGGAGTGGAGAAGAACTTGGAAAATGGCACCCACTTAAGAGGGTGAGTTAAACTTTTACTGATGCACTTGCTGGAAGTGGAGGCATCTGGTGTTGCAGACTTGTTATTTATACATCTGTGCATTTTGATGGGTTCTGGGATTCAATTCCTTTGGTTCATATTGAAAACAAATGTCTTCTCTTCCCCTCTTCAGTGACATCAACATGATGATGGTTGGTGATCCTTCTGTTGCCAAATCACAACTACTTCGAGCAATCATGAATATTGCTCCTTTAGCTATATCAACCACTGGTCGTGGGTCTTCTGGTGTGGGCTTGACAGCTGCTGTAACTTCTGATCAAGAAACAGGTACAAACACAGAACGTGAGATGGCATTCTGGTTTCCAGAAATTCAGGTTACAGCTTCCCCTCATTTCTGAATGTTAACAGGAGAAAGAAGGCTAGAAGCTGGAGCCATGGTTCTTGCTGACAGAGGTGTCGTTTGCATTGATGAGTTTGACAAGATGAACGATCAGGATCGTGTTTCCATACATGAAGTCATGGAGCAGCAGACCGTTACTATTGCAAAAGCAGGGATCCATGCATCACTAAATGCTAGATGCAGCGTGGTGGCTGCTGCAAATCCCATATATGGAACCGTAAGACAATCTTCATCTGAAATGGTAAATTGTTTCTCTTTTTCCAAACTGCTTGCGTGAAATCATGTTTCTGGATTGTTTGTTATTGATGGCAGTATGACCGCTCAATAACGCCTACTAAGAACATAGGGCTTCCGGACTCTTTGCTTTCTCGGTTCGACTTGCTTTTCATAGTACTTGATCAAATGGACGCTGATATCGACCGCCAAATCTCGGATCATGTCCTGAGAATGCACCGGTATCGTTCAGCAATCGACGCAGGTGAGGCAGCAGTTGATGATGCAAGTGCAAGATACGCAAGAGAGGAGGATGCTGAGACCGACACATCTGTATTTGTCAAGTATAACCGAATGCTTCATGGGAAGAAAACAGACAGAAGTCGCAAAAGGGATACACTTTCGATAAATTTTCTGAAGAAGTATATTCACTATGCTAAGCACAGGTTCCAGCCTGAGCTGACAGACGAGGTGCGTCAGTTTGTTACTACTTGCATTTGGAATGCATAAAAAACCAGCCTTTTTGGTAGTCCTCTCATAATATGTTGGTCCACAGGCATCGGAGCAAATTGCAACTGCCTATGCGGAGCTGAGAAATTCCGGGACAACCACAAAGGTTTGTGCTTGACATTATGAATTATGATTGGTGAGATCACAACTACTGAGTAATCTCAAATTAAACATTTTCCCTTTTTGTAGACGGGAGGAACACTTCCAATCACCGCTAGAACTTTAGAAACTATAATACGGCTCTCAGCTGCCCATGCAAAGTTGAAACTGAGTAGACAGGTATTTGGGTTTTAAGTTAGGCTAATCTCTGTACTTGTTATACATTTCGTCAGAATCACTTATTTGATCGTCTTGTAATGGATGGGGGCTGCCTTCCCTGGCCAGGTTACAAAGTCTGACGTTGAAGCTGCTCTGAAAGTTCTAAACTTTGCCATATATCATAAAGAATTAACTGACATGGAAGAGCGTGAAGAAGAAAGGGAGAGGGAAGCCGAGAGAGAAAACAGAGCTCAACGTCGCCGTACCAATCGGAACACAGCAGGAGATGATAATCAGGCTACTACTAATGCCGACGGAGACAGGTGAGTAGACAGTAGACTCCCCATATATCAAAACCATGTATTATGTTGTAGGGGGACTTTTGGATGGGGAACCGAGGGAAATTAGCTTTAAATTATCAGCTGAAGCCCTTCGGAAATTCATCCATTTGGATAACCAGAAAACGATTCCAAATGGCTGGAATTTGGAAAATTTCCCATTTCAAGATCCCCACATCCAAACTATGCCTTAATGGTTTCAGTTATCATGGCTTGACCTTGCTAGCAAGACTGGTTGTTGATAATCCCTGCAAGACTAATTCCTCTCCATTTTGTTTTGCGTCTTTTTCAGGCCTGAGGTAGACCCCATGGATGTAGATGATCCTGCTGCAGAGCAGCCCACTACAGGAATATCTACGGAAAGGTATGTACCTAAGGGGAAGCCCACCATATCTAGCAATGCCATGATTTTCACCATAGTAGACTGCCTGTAACTCTGATGCTTGTTCTCCCGATTTCGGGTTTTGTTTTCTGTAGGATTGAAGCATTCAACACAGCGTTTCTTCAGTGTATGCGGTACCAGCAGAGCATAGCCATAGATGATCTGGAGAAGGCTGTTAACACAGGAGCTGCTAATTACTCCAGACCAGATATAATGACATTGTTACAGGTAAACCTTGAAACAAATATTAGGAAACGTTTTTTACCTCTTTTTTCCCCATGATTCACTCTTGACTTTTAAGTTCTTCTCTTTCTGTTGCTATTTGGCCAGAAACTGCAAGATGATAACAGAGTGATGATCGCAGACGACGGAAAAGTTCATTTGGTTTGATGTTTGCTCCCGTCAACTCTGCTTGTCAAACTCGTGGATGAATGAATGTGAGACCGGTTATGTGTTTATAGTGCATGTTTGTCATTTGATTCCCCTATTCCCCAGCTCTTTCATCTGTAAGCTGTAAACCTTAGCAGTAGAAGTTCAATAACGACTTTTGTGCCTTGTTGTGAAGAAGCCAGAATTTAGAGAGGCTAAAATTCATTTAATGTTAGTAATTTTTTTTAAATATATTTTTACAGTTAAATCGACATGGTGTAAAACGATTGCGCTAGATAGAAACAACTTGATAAACCGCAACGGTATAAATGTGTCGACAAGTTTGTTTATGAGTATATGACTGGACGCGGCAGTTTTAGAGCCACAGGATTGGCAAATGGAGAAGAACTGGGTCCAATTCTGGTGGTGGCTGAAAATGTAATTTCATTCTAGCAAAGACCAAATAGAACGAACTAGCAGCATCAGTCCTTTTATCTGTTTGTCTGTTTCTTATTAGTCTCTCTCGAATCAATGGCCACGCCATTGATCGCAAGGAGCCATCCTCTATCGTACGCTTCCCTAAACGCTCACCGCCATTACAACCGCTACCGTCGCCCCTTCTTCTCCTCCTCTCCTTACTCTAAACCAATATCTTCACTGTCCTTCCCTTCTCGTCCACTAAATCCCACCAAGGTAACACTGCAGAGTTTGTTCTTCACCATTACGCTTTCTTCTTTTTCACAGAGCTCGTAAGCATTTTTTGCCTGACAGATGGCAGCGAGCAGCAGCGAAATTACAGAGGAAGTTCCAGGGAAAACTGATGAAGGGGTTGAGAAGAAGAAGAGAGTGTTTGTCGCTGGAGCAACTGGAAGTACTGGGAAGAGGATAGTCGAGCAGCTGCTATCCAGAGGGTTTCTAGTGAAAGCTGGAGTGAGGGATGTTGACAAAGCCCAGACCAGCCTTTCCAAGGACAACCCATCTCTTCAAATCGTATGCAAAATTCAATCCTCCACTTGCTCCAATTGAAGACAGTTTTTCTGTGTCAATTTTTTTTATTTTTTTATAGAGAAGTCGTTTTGTGTTTACAGGTGAAAGCAGATGTTACAGAGGGGTCTGTCAAGCTAGCAGAAGCCATAGGGGAAGACTCTGACGCTGTGATATGTGCCACTGGGTTTCGACCTGGTTGGGACCTTTTTGCTCCATGGAAGGTTAGTTGGTCAGGTGTTCTGGGTTTTTGGTGAAAATTTGAGGGTAGGTGTTGAAATATTGAGGGGGAATGGGGAATTGTTGTTTTGGCAGGTTGATTATTATGGAACCATGAATCTTGTGGAGGCTTGTAGGAAACAAGGCGTGGAAAGGTTCATCCTGGTGAGCTCCATTTTGGTGAATGGAGCTGCAATGGGGCAGCTGCTGAACCCAGCTTATGTGTTCCTCAATGTATTTGGGTTGACATTGGTAGCCAAGCTCCAGGCTGAGAGTTATATCAGGAAATCAGGGATTAACTACACCATAATCAGACCTGGTGGGCTGAAGAACGATCCCCCTTCAGGCAATCTAGTCATGGAACCAGAGGTAGGAACTTTGTGTAACACTAAATGGGGTAGTTTGGATGCTTGAATGCTGAATTGGTGGAACTCGATTTGAGTTCCAATCTGATGGAAGGAATTCGTCAAATTCATTCGTTTGGATGAATCGGAACATTTGATCGTAAATAGATAGAATCGTGGTACTCTGCGGAGCTCCAATTGTTTCATCTTCTTCTTTGAGACGTTCACTTGCTAGTTACTAATAGCTCTTCTTGTCTTGGTTGTTGCTTTAGGATACGCTTTACGAAGGATCAATATCCAGAGATGTGGTAGCAGAAGTTGCAGTCGAGGCATTGACACATACAGAGTCATCTTACAAAGTTTTGGAAATTGTCTCTCGTGCAGATGCACCTAAACGTTCATATGAGGATCTCTTTGGCTCCATCAAGTCAAAGTAGCTTGTAAATTGTAATAATACTCTTGAAGAGTACAAAGTTTAACTTCGCCATTGCATTTTGGATCTTGTTTAGAGCTTCATCTTTGTGGGTTCCTTTAGAATTGCACGGAATTGGCATACATCAAAAGACTAAAGAAAGAAAGCGAGAAGTACAATGGCGTGCACAATCAGAGCAATATTTTTGCTCTTAACAGCAGCAACAATTGTGGAGACTAGTCCAGAACATATAAGACTACTTACCTTTACATTGCAGTCATCTCGAACCTGGTTAACCCTAAAACCTAACAGAACCCTTGAAGTGGTTAACAGGAACGATTAACTTATAAGAAAAATTTTAAAAAAAATTGTTAAAAAGGTTAATGATTGTCATATCCGAATTTTATGATTCATGTGTTTTTTTTTTTACGGAATGTTTTCCTTTAGTTTTAATGATTTATTGTTATGTGACTGATTATAATCGAAAAATCGTTAAGCAAAACTCAAAGTCAATAAGCCAAAAATCGTTTAATGCTCATAAGAGGTCTAGAGTAACAAGGTTGCCACTAGGAGAGTTGCATGTTGGCTATCTATGAGTATCATTAATTACAAGGATGCTATCTTCTGATAACTGTGAAGCTCTTGTAGATAAGATCACAACATGAGTTCAGTCGTGGCAGACCTGTGTGTTGAGTTATGCAGGAAGAATGTAGCTTATATCCTCTGTGATTACCAACATAATGCAGTAATGGATGACACTATTATTGTCAAAGGTTTTAAAAGAGGTTGAACTTGTAACAAATTCCTATGAGGGGCTGGAGGTCCGGAGAAGAGAAGTAGAACTTTGGTAGCTTGGGAAAAGGTTGTCTTGCCGAAGACAGAAAGTGAGTTGGAGATCCGGGATTTCAAAACTAGAGATAAAGTTTGTGCAATGTGTCATCTAGGGATTCTACTGACAGAGAAGGGCTCTTTATGGATAGCGTGGATCAAGAAATACAAGATTAAGAATAAATCCATCTGGAGTTTTTCAGAACTATTTTCAGCTTCCTAGATATTGAGTCGCATTCTGAAATGCAGAATTGCAGAGAGAGTGTCCAACAACATATGTCTAATGATGGCTCTTCCTCGACTTAGGAAGGTAAAGTATTACCTCGCTCTTCCGTTAAGCTTGTCCATAATTCCATTAATGCCTCTAGCCCTAGTGTTGATTGGTGTAGTACTATATGGGGCAAGCATAGAGGTGGCAATTAGGATCCAAATCCATGAATCCAATCCAATCCATCCACCAAATTATCCACCTAATCCAATCCATTTAAATCCAATCCATTTGATCTAAATCCAATTGGATTGGTGGATGCATGGATAAATCCATGGATCCAAATGGCAAATTATGATTTGGTACCTATATTTTTTATATTTTACATTTTGGTACCTAAAATTTATATTTTTATACGAAAAATATCATTGGAAATGATAGACCGATAATTATACATGTTTTTACCCCTATTATGAGGCCGTTTGTGACGAGGAATCTCGTGTTTTAAGCCGATTTCACGCTAGGTTGTGTGTTTATGTCATATTTCAGGTCCCGGCGTTGGAATCGAGACGGAGAAACGAGTTCTGGGTCGAAAGGAGCAAGGTTGGGACGAATAGGGCTGAAGGAGGAAAATACCCGGTCAGGTGGCCAAATACCCGACCGGGTATTAACCAATTTTGGGCGCCCGAGAAGCAGCGAGGGGCCCGGGCACAGCAGTTAAATCCCCGGTCGGGGATTTTGGTGTTGGACCGGGGATTTCCCCCTTTAGTGAAACGGTGCGCTGCAGAGATACCCGGTCGAAACCCAAAATACCCGACCGGGTATTTTGACCGGGTATCGCGACCAGGCAGCTGATTTAAGGAAGAAGAAGGTCAACATTGAAGGGTTCCGAGTTTTTGAGAGAGAAACCGATACCTAGAGAGAGAAAGCGTCGAACCAGAGTTCTCAAGCGCCATAGATCGATCTTCAACACCATTGGAGCCCGTCTTGAGCTTGGAGAAGTGCGATTAAACGTCCAGAAGCAGGAATCCAACTTCACAGTATGATTTCCGTGTCTGAATCTGCTTTTGCTTCTTTCTCTATGGAGTAGTTTCCCCATTCATCTGGGTATGGGAAACCCTAGTTCTGTATGCTAGGTTTGATTGTATGAACCCAAGTATTGATTCTATGATTTGATTATATTCGATTAAGGTTTGAATGATTGAATGACTTGAATCCTGATCAAATTCCTGTTGTTTCTGCTTTAACCTGGAATGAGAATATCTGCCTAGGTTAATAGAGTATCCTTAATTGAAGGTAGTGAATTGGTGACTTTAGTCGAGGAGCCAATCACTATTCTGTACCGAATTGCATTCGGTAGTGGAGGTTTCGTTCTTAGGGCCTCAATCTGTTTACTCCGGTGTAGGTTAGTCGCCAGCTAGAGACTCAGATTGAGAGGGTCTGAAGACCTTTAGTCGAGACTTCAGACTGTTTGAGAACCTTCCGCAGTATAACTATCATAGAAATCGAACTTGGTAATTACAATCCGGCTTAACTGCAGACTAGGGGGAACCATATCCGGGTGACCTCTCTTAACCTGAATACAACCGTTTTAGTTACTTTGCTTGCTTGTTAGTTTAGAACCTCACTAAAGTTTCATTGCTAGATAATACGAATTCACTGAGTAGTCATCACATCTAGGACCCGGGTTGACATTAAAACCCAAACCCGTTATACTACGCTTTAGGAAGTGGTTACACTTGGCCATTTTCTAGAGTGACAGTAGAGTCGAGTCAAGTTTTTGGCGCCGTTGCCGGGGACGGCTAGGTTGTTGAAGAAAAGTGATTTCTGTTACTTTAGCATTTTCATTTTCGCATTGAGTTTTTGTTTTTCCCACTTGTGCCTTCACGGGTTTGCTTGCTTGAGTGTGTGCAGGTAGTGCATGACCCGTAGCCAGTCAGGAGGTTTACTGCCGTTGGATCCAGAGCTTGAACGCACTTGCCGCCAACTTAGGAGACAGCAGCGAGCTAGACTGGTTACGGGAGAGCGCATAGACGGCCACTTGACCAGCGATTCTGAGGAAGAGTACGAGATGGAGGGCGAAGACATCCCACAACCGGGGAATGCTCGACAGGTTCCCCCGGTGAATCAACATCCACCACCACCGCCGGGTCCCACCTTGGAGTACTACTACACTCCACGGATTGCTGACATCCACCCGGTCATCCTCTATCCACCCGTCCCAGCAAATAACTTCGAGATCAAGCCAGGCTGGATTCAGCTCATCACATCCTCTATCCAGTTCCATGGCTTGAAGGATGAGGAAGCCCGGGCACACCTTTCCCGTTTTCTGCAGCTGACGAACGGGTTCAAGCTGAATGGTGTTCCGGATGAGGCAATCCGCCTTCACCTCTTCCCCCATTCTCTGGCGGGGAATGCTAAGAGGTGGTTGGAGACCCAGCCCCCACTGTCCATCACTTCTTGGGACGATCTGGCGGATAAGTTCGTGCACAGATATTATCCGGCATCGAAGACTACTGAGATTCAGCGGGAGATCACTCACTTCCGCCAAGAGCCAGATGAGTCCCTTCGTGATGCATGGGAGCGGTACATGGGATACTTCTGGCAGTGTCCCCATCATGGCTTCAGCGATGCTTTCACAGTGGGGAACTTCTACAGTGCCATCACCCCAGACAGCCAGAGGGTGATCGAGTCTCTATGCCCAGGAGGGGATAACCTTACTAAGACTCCACCCGAGCTGAACTAGATGATCAGTACCTTGGCTGCCCGCGATCATTCCTGGGGGCAGAGCAGCAGAGGCAGGCACTCCCGGGACCGTGGTGTGCACGCCATGGAGACCAGATCCGGGCTCGAGCAGCAGGTAGCTGAGCTAGTGCAGGCATTGAAGCAGCCCAACAGTCTTATTCCGGGCAGAAGTTTGGCTACACCTCCAGTTGCTCAGTGTCAGTGGTGTGAGAGCCCGAATCACCTCGTGGAGGATTGTCAGTCTATGAGGGAGTCTTCTACTCCCCAAGAGCAGGTGGCCTTCATCGCCAATGCTCGGCGCCTCGATCCATACAGTAACACATACAATGAGGGATGGCGCCAGCATCCCAACTTCGCCTGGAGCAACAACACCAATAAACCACCTGGTTTCCCAGCACCAGCAGGTGGTTTTCAGCAGAGGCAGCCTTTCCAGGCTAGACAGGGGCAGCCATTCCAGCAGCCTCAGCGTCAGTATGCCGAGCCAGCAGCAGCACCAGCTCCCGATAATCAGATGACCAAGCTTGAGAACATTTTGGCAGCATTCATGACCACCAGCCAGGCAAATTTCACGAGGATGGATCAGGCCATAGCTTCACTGGAGGCAGGCCAGAGGAACCAGGGTGCCATTCTGCAGGATCTCCAGCACCAGATAGGGGACTTAGCTCGCCAGAATACTACCAGGGCACCGGGGACTCTGCCTGCCACCACTGTCCCCAATCCTCGCGGCCCTCACGAGACTGCCCATGCCATTTTCACCAGGAGCGGCAGGCCTACATCAGCTGATCCTGCCCCGACCAGGCAGGAGGAACCACTACCTGCTTCAGCACTTCCAGCCGGTGATGCAGAAGTGCGGGTGGAGAAGGAAGCCCCTGTTCCCAAGCCACAACCAGTGGTGAAGGAGCATGTACCCCAGCTTCCCTTCCCCACTCGCCTCCATAAAGATAAGCTGGAGACTGAGTTTGCCAAGTTCATGGCAATGTTGAAGCAGCTCAACATCAGCGTACCATTTGTGGAGGCACTGTCGAAGATGCCCAAGTACGCGAAGTTCATGAAAGATCTCTGCACCAACAAGAAGAAACTTGGGGATCTTTCGACAGTGCTGCTGAGCGAGGAATGTTCTGCCATCCTGCAGAACAAGCTGCCCGAAAAGCACAAGGATCCAGGGAGTTTTACTATCCCTCTTACTATTGGCAGCGTGCATGTAGGTGATAGCATCGTATTTGCACGTGTTTTCACTCTGGTTTCCTGCCCATTTTGGCTCGAATTGATTGTTCCTTGGCCTATTTTACGCTAGGTTGTGTTCCTTTGTCACATTTC